ACTCACTGCAGAGCTGCTGTCCTGGAAGAGCTCACCTCTTAATCCTGATATTACGCTCACCAAAGTAATCCTGGCTTTAAATCTCCGTCAGTATTAGTACGGAGAGAACCGCCAGCAGAAGGCGCCAGTGTACGGAGAGTTGTAGCCCGCTCACCGTGCGGAACCTTTCCCGTCTGTTTTTGTTTGCACCCGTGTGGCTAGAACGTGACTCTTTCATATACTTCCGGGCCGGAGGTCACAGTTCACACGTGAAAACGGAGAAAAGCGGGTGTTAACGTGGAGTGGATTACAACTGGTTTAATTTAAGGTAGTACGACTTGTGCTTTGTATTTCTCCCGCACGTTTCATATAAACACGCAGGTTTAGTAAAGACGCGGGTCGCAGTGTTTGGTCCTGCAGGCTGACAGACAGATGTTTTCAACAAAGGTAAACTCCGCTCACAGAGCAAACCTGTCGGCCTGTAAACTACCTGAGTCAACATCGGTTTTCTCAAAGAAGTATCCCACTGGATGGAGGCAGGCTTGTCTTTGTAGTGTCGCTTTTTGAGGGACTTTTTCCATATCTAAGACAAACTGGGTCCTTCTGATGTTTTAATATCTGGTGTTGTGGCTTCTGTTAATATTAGAGCCAAAATGTGCATTAGTGTCCTGTCGCGTTTTCCCAACATGGATTTTAAAACAGCACGAGGATTTATGAACGTCTTTGTGTATCTAGAGAAAGTGTTTGCTTCTGAGAGGAACTGTGGAGGAAGATGAAGAGCTGAGGAAGCCAGCTCTAGGTGACTGGGAGTGTGTGTGTTGATACTTGGAGTACACTGTGTGTGTATTAAGTCTGTTTAATTTGTGAAAATATACTTAAGTAAAAAGTGTAAATAATGACAAGAGGTGAAATTTAATTCACTGACTGAAATTCTGTGGTTCAGTAGAGGTAAACATACATGTTTATTTGAATGTTATATCACTTTATACCTGCTTCTCCACTAAAATTCATCCCAGAAACAAATATTTCCTGTAAAAGTTAATACATGATGCATAATGAAGGTGATGAATATCAAGTGTTTTGACTCCACGAAATTTGGCTGAAAGGTTTAGTTATGTGGGGGAAAAAATCATAAGATGTGATCATTTTGAATGCTTGAATAAAAACAAAGGGTCAACTAATATATCATAGATTCCTTGTATTGTATTATGCCATGTCATAACTGTCCTAAGTATCATGAAAAAGCAAAAGAGTCGTACATACATGTCATATAACTGAAAAATCAATGCCTGTCCATACCTATAAATTGAGTGGAACCTGTTCTCTGTCCACAGATTCCAGTCAAACTGTGAACACACGGTGTGTGTAGTAGACAGGATGGATGGGAAAGTCAAGAAGCAGAAGCAGCATCAGCAGAAGCACAGCGGCCCAAAGGCAGAGAAGAAGAAGCTGAAGAAACAAAATGGCTCAACAGAGGAGGATGAACGCAAACGCAACCCCAAAGCATTTGCAGTTCAGTCTGC